GGTTTTATGCGTCAAACACAAACATTACAATCTTTTCTTGTTACGTACACATATAAAATATCATTATAATATCTTATTATTCTATAATTTAATAAAACATTTTTTTAGGCAAAATGAATGGAAGGCATCCTGGGTCCTATCTACATTGATCAATTCTTTTCATTGACACTCTCTTTCGTAAATAACTCGGCTTCACAAATATTTCCTGTCGTCTTCGTCGAATTAGATGCTAGATTATTGCTTCTTTCATCGAAAATATCCGGCCGTGGCGATTCAAAGTTGATCAAGGTTGATCAAAATAATTTGTACCCCTGCTTCCAGTTTGATTACATGAGCATTTTGTGTGATCGTTGGTTCTGAATATGGACAAACAGATTGGTGGCCCTAAAAAGAGCCGTTTTGTTGCCAAAGTTGGTGATGATTTAACCGCCGAAACCAAACAGAGTGCGTCTCTGTCACTGCAAAACGTAGATGACATCTATGGCCGCTTACGCTTGGCGTGTTCAGTGTAGGTGACAGCATCACGGATCTCATTTGTCAGGAACACCTTCAGCACACCTCGTAAATCAGACCGGAGATACGTCAGACACCGCCACGGCGAGCCAGACGACGGATGGTGGTTATTTCGAAGAATTTGCCTTTGGTTCTGAATATGGCGATGAGTGTGCAAAATATTACGCAATTCCATCCTCCCTATTCGCACGTGCCCGAGGATCGGAGGCGAATGCCACTTCTACTTGTTTCGTCTACTTACTACTCTCTGACGACTGTGCTGGGGAAACAGCATATGCATGTAGGTAATTGGTGGATTTGTTAGTTAATTCGATGCTTTTGGACAATGCTGGACTTTTACCAGTTTTTCAATAGTTTCTTGTTGAAAGTCAACATTCGGAAGCATTGTTATCGATGCGTATCCATATTTCTGATCGATTTGTGATAAAATTATTGAAATTGGACCAGGGGCAGCTGAGTTATTAACGTTCAAAATCTTTCTTAATTTGTTACATGTTCCATTTTCGGTTTTCACAAAGTGTACCCCCATATAGAAATCAAAGACGTAGTCCTACGTCAAAAAAAATCGTTTAAAGAGTTTTGAGAGAATTTTCAAGGAAAAATGTTGCTGTTGTTAAACTAGTGATTTCTTCAGCTCAATCGCATTCGGTTCTATGCTTAATTTGAACAAATATAGCAAAACCTGGAAAATAAAAAAAAACCGAGGGAAAAATCGGGAAATTTCTGATCGGGATTTGTTCATGATTTTTTGCTCATTAATACACCCAACTGGGAATGCAAGATTTGCTTACAATTATGAGGGATTCATCATTGCAGGATGTTAGTGGAGACCACATGTAGGATGAGATATACCGAGCTGCGGCCGAATGCAAGAAAATTAGAGACCGAAAAATGTGGAGTGTATACTTACTAATACACGTTATTGTGATTATGATGAAAAAAATAATTAAATAAGGTTGCCGCCGACTGGACTCGAACCACGAACGTTGCGATTATCAGGCCTGTGCTTTCTCCACTGCTCTCTCCATGCTTCGGAGCATAGATAGGCTTAAAGCGAATAAGAAGCGCTAGTACGATAATTTGATTTCGTATGCTGAACGGGAATTGGAGAGATTCAAGGCAAGTGTGTGCGTCGTTATAAATAAAAAGCTTGCTGCTATAGTCAAAAGCGTAGACAGAGCCAAGGTTGCAAAGACTCATTTCAGCTAAAATAATGTTTTTCGGAATAATAAAACCAAAAGATGGTATGATGGCATGTTTTACTTGTAACTTACAAGAAGAGGTTACAAAGTATGCGTTTGAAACATAAAACCTGTAAATTTTGCTTTCTATGAGTCACAATCAGCGATTTGCTGATCGCTGAGTAAGTGAGTGAGTGAGTGAGTGAGTGAGTTTGTGAAAAATCGCTGATTGTGACTCTCATGAAGTGAAATAAACAGGTTTAACATGTCAAACACATTCTTTGCAACCTCTTCTTGTATCCTACCAATTCAAAATTTGGTCATGGCATCTAATTATTTCATAATTTAGAAAAACATTGTTTTAGCTGAAATGAGTCTTTACAACCTTGGACAGAGCACGTAATAAAAAAGAAAAAAAAAATAATTGCGTCGTCTGCAAGATCAACTTTTATCATTCTCTGCGGTATTCGCTGCGATAGGAAATGCAACATTACATTGAATATATTTTTAGTTTGCGGGTATTATAAGCAAATAAACAAGAGTAGGCTAAATGAAAACTTCGGAAATTCCTACATTATCGTTTCTTAGCCCTCTCTTGGGTTTCTACATGACGTTTTACAGTGATTTCCACCCTCATGTTGCCATTTAAATTTCTTAAATAGAACGTCATCCCGTTCTGTAAATAACCATACTAATCTTAAAAATAATGTTCAGCAACTTTTAAGACGATCAGCCACAAGCATAATTCATGCCACGTACTCACGTAATGAGAGAATTTTGCATTAATCTTTCAACCATCTGCAACCCGTCGTCATCTGATCAGCTTTTCCGAAGACACTAACGTTCTGAACGATCAGGATTTTATTTTTGCCAAGTTACTAACACATTTTAGGTCATTTTGCACTTGTCCGGGGATGAGATTTGAACTCGTTACCGGGTCCGTCCCCTGATCAGGATTTTGAAAGACATCGCATATATATTGAACAGGAAGCTCACGTAGATAATAGCGTTGAACAGCGACTGAATACTGAACTTATTTGTTTAGCATGCCGAAGTCGTTAGTTACTCGAAAAAGTTTTTTTTTTGTATTATGGTCACTTCAACGCATTATTAGGTTATTCATGACTTGTCTTGGGATGAGGTTTGAACTTTTGACCATTTGCGTGCCGAACAAGTTTGTCGAAGACACCAACTATCTAAGTGACCGAATTCGGGTGAATTATGGCTTCGACAATACTTTTGCCTATTTATCGTCAGGGGTAAACAAAGTCCTTGAGAACTGAATTTGATGTTCTAAGGCATGATGTATTCTCATGCATTTCTGATGTTCAAGAAGTTTACTTCTGCGATTTCTAGAATTATTTGAACCTATTGCATGCGTAATATCACATTTTTTTTCGTCGAAGATAACATGGTGTAATTCTGCAGAATGACACTTGAAAGTAGTTGTATTACTTTACACATATTTTAGTGCGGCATTTCGGAAAGTGTAAGTACTCTATAGGAATAACTATCAATCTAGTAGTCGTATAGAAATGCGTTTCACGAACATCTTTTCTCATTTCATGGCTCCAAACGTGTCATTTTTGTTCAAAAAATTATCTATGAACTTTTATGAAAGCTGATAACTGTAAAAGCTCAAACTGTTCGTTAGGATGACCTTACTTTGCCGAACATTTTATGTTGAATGTCTGAACTGCAATCTCCCTGTTTTTCTGAGTCCCTTTTCACTCAACAATATCGGGATGAGTTGTAAATCTTTTGCCAAAAACCGATACAAACACCACACTAACAAACACTGCCTTCTTCATCAACACTTCAGATTCAACTGAATCCCATTTAGCGCCAAACAAGTGCCAGTGCTATACACCGTGTGAGCTCCAACAAAGCCTTTGCCACGCGAATTTTTTGGCATCGAGCCCATAACAACCAACCTTCCTGACCTCATCTTAACCCCTTCCCCGAATACTGGTAGCAAAACAAACAAAATTGATTGAAAACAAGCAACAGGATACCTACACACTACTCGTTATTATAGATTCTCATCCTTCCCCTATGTGTCATTGCACTTTGGCATGTTTCCGTTGACGTCGGTCGTTCCGTTTTGCATCAGGAGGAAACATGAACCATATTAGGACGATTTAGCAAAAGTTCAAGTCGCAGAATAGTGTCCTATCGATTTGGTGCATGTACCCTCTGCCTGTCAGCAAGCATCCATTATTAATAGAAATGGATGCGAATGCAATTTCAGCGACGTAATTGAATTGGCTCGTTGTGGCATGATGAGTGGGAAATGATGTTTTGATGGGAATTTCAAGCATGATGAAGTACTTCCGTCTCCATTACCACCGATGGTTCCATTGTTACCGACATCTTGAAGCGTGATCTCATCAAGCATATACGATGGATTATGTGACAATAGCTCGCCATCTACTTATGTAAGAGCTGTTGCCATGCTAAGAGAAGTGAATGTGAATTGATCTGGACAAATCGTGTCAGTTACATGCAAAATGACTTACATGTTTCCCTACCCTCCATAGTCCACCATCGTTAACGGTTGGGCAAAGCAACTTCTACGCTTCCTTTTTAGAGCACGTGAAAATGGATCAACGAAGGGGTTGAGTTGCAGATTCGTTACGTACAGTGTCTTCTTCGAAAGCGGATATGCCTTCCGGCAGTAGGTTTAAGAACATCCTGGAATCATAAATTTGCTACTCACTGTCATCCAGGGGAGCTGGTTCCTCTCAGGTGGAATGTTACGCTATCAACACGTGCGCCACCATGCTATGCTATGGTAGCTTGTTTGCTGCAGGCAAGGCATGTAGTTATGAATGTAAAAGTAACATTTACATGGACTTGGGGACTGTAATGGAACACGCCAAGAACACGAACGAGTGAGTGGGCTAAAAATAGCAACGGAAACGAGCGTTTCGTCCTGCAACCTTGCACCTTCGTTTACCTCTTTTCACGACATTCCTGCCCCAGCTGGTAGGTAGCTAGTGCTTGATTCATTTTGTTCGTTTTATTTACCGGGACTGATGTATGAATCACGGTTATTTACTCAAACGGGTAGTTGCACTAATGGCGATAAATGTAGGTAAACGGCAGTACTGGTAATTGGTTTGCAAAAAATGGGATCTTCTGCAAAGCGTTTTTTTGGGTTGGAAATTTATTTTCTGTCTTGGACAAGAAGTACTATTTTGCAGGAAACTTTATATATGAATGCAAAAAAAAAGGCTTAGGCAATCATCAAAAGATATCATCTAAAAGCTAGCTAACCAATTTTCCAAAATTCTATCCTTCCAGCTTCCCGTCGGCATTTCGAAATTGCATTCCGCATGTTTGACCTGAACGGTGATGGCGATGTGGACAGCGAAGAGTTCGAAAAGGTTGCCAATCTGATTCGTCAGCAAACCAGCATCGGGAACCGGCACCGGGATCACGCCAACACCGGAAACACCTTCAAGGTATGAGGATTCTTCTCCTACTAACCGTTTAACCCCTTGTTAATATTGTACTCTTTTGCATAACGACAATGTCTTTCCTTTCAGGGAGTAAATTCAGCTGATTTCATTCCCCTTCCGTTTATAACATAATTAACCGAGCCTCTGCTTTCAGGGAGTAAATTCAGCGCTTACGACCTACTTCTTTGGTCAAAAGAACGATGAAAAGCTGACTATCGAGAAGTTTTTGGACTTCCAACAGCAGCTGCAGCGGGAGATTCTTACCCTGGAATTTATGCGTAAGAATCCGGACGAAAATGGTAACATAAGTGAAGCGGATTTCACTGAACTGATGCTTGCTTACGCTGGTTATACACAGAAGAAGAAGGTCAAGAAGATCAAGCGCGTCAAGAAGAGGTAGGATGCCTGCGTTGGAGCTAAATCTCCCGTATTTTAGTAAATCGTAGAGTAGTGCGTAGATTTGTTAATGCTCCGTTGCATTTTTCCTTTCTTTCTTTCTTTTCCATTACTATTTAATCGAACCCCCTCCTGAAGGTTCCGTGATCACGGTGAAGGTGTGTCGAAGGAAGATTACCTTAATTTCTTCCATTTTCTGAATAACATCAACGACGTCGATACCGCTCTAACGTTCTACCACATTGCCGGTGCGTCCATTGATCAGGCCACTCTGAAACACGTAGCCAAAACGGTAGCAATGGTAGAGCTGACCGATCACGTCATTGACGTTGTATTCACCATCTTCGACGAAAACAGTAAGTATCCGGGCTTCCCTTGGTTCCGTCTGTTTAAATTCAGTAGGTAGAGCTTTGCAATCGTTAAATTTCCTTCTCGATTCGTTTCCAATAGTGGACGGTCAGTTGAGCAACCGGGAGTTTGTAGCAGTAATGAAAAACCGTTTACTGCGTGGTTTGGAGAAGCCAAAGGACACCGGGTTCGTCAAGTTGATGCATTCGATTCTCAAGTGTGCCAAAGACACTAAACCTGTGCTGTTGGACTTGTAAGTATGCAAGTACGGAAGGGGAAGTTGGTGGTTCTATGTCTGCGGTGGTGAATTCGTCCCTTGGCTCAGCTAGCGTCTCTAATCGAAGAAGGGAAATGTGTGCCAAGCACCAAACCCGACGTGGAATGTTTGTTCATATTCAATTACAAAGAAATTGCACAATCTACGCTTTTGTACCTAATGTTTAATGATCCTGATTTCTTCCGCCATTTATTAGATGTTAATAGCGTCTGTAGACGATATCGTTTTGTCTCAGCTTTTCCAACTAGGATAACTATCGCTCTCTTGATCATTATCCGGCTCATGTTACCATGCAATCTTTGTCTTGTAAATTTGTATTAAATGTTTGTTTTTCCATACTCGTGGGGATGGTAGCTTATTGATCCGAAATGCCGTTTACTAGCGCTGAGCATTTTGTGGTTATTACGTGCATTTGCTAGTGGCTTTTACTGCCCATAAAAGCAAAACAGTCACATCTTTGCTTGATTTCCTATTCGAATTGGACTGTTTTGCGTTTATGGGTAGTTTAGTATTTTCAAACCTAAGCGCTCATCTATCGAAACATCCGCATAGAATAGTCAGGTTTTCTAGTCATCTTCCAGTTTCAGTGTGTTTCCGAATTAGTTAACTCAAGATGATACTCTACTGAGAGCACTCTCAACATAAGAATCATAATCACCCAACCAAGAAAACAATGTTTAAACATTTCATACATCTTATATATCATATGCAGTAGCACGAGTTATGGCTTTAAACTTAGAGATTATTTAAAAATGGCATAAATTAGTTTTGGCTAAAGATATTCTTCAAAGTGTTGTATTTTATTCATATAGGTTCCAATAACATGTAAATATTCGTTTTCCTGTGTCGTGTAGTTTTTAATTTTACTTTTAATACACTGTAGATTTGATTTAGAAAAGTGGCAGGTAGTCCTCTTGGGTTCTCTTTGTCAACAAAGTCTGGTAGGTAAGAATAGTGTTGATTACTGTGATACGCAGCCACCCACCCCACCGAAGCTTGCCCAAGCCATAATGGTGATAGAGAGGGCCATTATGATCGACGATAACGGGTACGACAACTGGTGATAAATAGACTGAAGGCCAAGGCGAAGAGCTAGATTTATGGTATTTCTAATCAATTATCGAAAGATCATCAAGTGAAATGGTTGATAATTTTTAAACTATACAAAAAACTCGTTAACCTTTCAGTACTCGCGCTATTGTACAAAGTACAACACGAAAAAAAGTAAAACCTACTGACTTTGGAACTCCCTCAACATGACACTAAACATTTTTCTTTAAATGTAATACCTATGTCCAATAGACCAATACTTGAAGAATATGTTGGAGAATATCAGGATTCATCAATTCCTCAGGGTGAAAATAACATACTGTTGTGTTTTGTACAACGCGCGAGTGCTCGTGTTACAAAAGTTGGCGCGAGTAAAAAAGTGAAGAATGGAGGCAGTGCTGAAGTCTTGGAAATCAGTGGTGATAGAAATCGATTCGATCGTGATACCAAATCCCAAAGAATCAGTGCGATGAGAGAACCACAAAGAAATGGACATCAGGTAAATTCTACCGAATACTGCCGGAATTTTGGCAAAAATGGTTCTAGCCAATTGTTCGACAATCAATTTATTAGGACCTCATGTATGTATTGTATTACAAGGCGTCGAACCGGAACCCGATTGACCTCCTCACGGTCTAGTACAGAACAATTCTGTGAACAACAACTGAAGCCGAGTCTGTCAACACAATCAGTGGTGATTTTCATTGTAGAGGATACGTGAAATCAGAGAGAAGTCGTCCGTCGACCGAGTAAACGTGGTTTTAGATCCACGAGATTATATTAAAATACAGCGGGACAAGAAGGGAACCGATAGGAATTGGAATAAACGTGTGGCAGGAGAAGCTTTACTAAAGTAGGTAGGTTTGCGACAGATATGTGCAAAATGTGACCATTCTTTGCGCCGTGGAACTGAAATTGATAGACTTGCTGACCCTTAGTACAGCCTTAACAGTGGCTATATAAATATAAGACTTTGTATCTAAAGGATAGAAGCACTATAATTACCTTAGTTACAATATTCCTATCACTAGTGCCGTTTCTGATTATGATGCTTCCATTTTAATCATGAGATTTTTGAGAATGCTCTTCCCTACTTCCCACTACTTAGATGATTATTTAGTTAGCATCCGATTAGTTGTGTAGATTCATCAGCCAATAATATACAATATGCTTTTATAATACCGAGTGTAACACGAATAAGTACTTAGTGTAAATTATAAATAATGCATCCAACAAAAGCGTTTTGTACAGTACAAACAAATCGTAAACTTTGTTTAGAATACATTACATATTATGTTAAGGTGATACTCAAAGGAAGCCTTAGCGTGAAACTTTAAAGGCACAAATGTCAGCTTCCACAAAACATACAAATTTGAAATTGCTACTCCTTGTTTGCTGTGCTACTACAAACAGAGAGTAGCAATTTCAAATTTGTATGTTTTGTGGAAGCTGACATTTGTGCCTTTGAAGATTCACGCTAAGGCTTCCTTAGAGTATCACCTTAAGTCAGTAATAGTAGATGATGAGGGGGTTAAGACAGCAACCCTAAGCTCAAAGTAAAATTTAACCAAAACTTTATAAAATTTCAGCGGTAAATTAAGTGAGTATTAGAGTACTTTCCCAAAATCAATGTATTCATGGCATTTCCTTATCATTTGATTCTGTTTTATTACAAAAAAAAAATTCTAAATAATCCAAGAAAAACGGAGTAAGGTTGGCCACCCCTAGGGGCCACAGGGAATATCATATGATCCTGGCCATATAGAACAATTTACAATTTATTGAAATTATCAAAGACGCCAATTTGAAAAAAATAATTACAAGATCTAAAATGGTCGCATTTTAGCAAAAATATGAATGATTGCCCATAACATACAACTACATACAACGTGCAACTCGAAGATGCTCGAGTCTGAACAATTCGTCATTTGGCGTGGAACTGCTCAATATCAAAAATTTCTAAGTATGAAATCTTGATATTTTTGTTAGTATGCAAATCCTCCAGCTCTTCCAAAGATTTCTAAAATTAGAAAAAAAAATCATTAGGGCATATTTTGCAATTTTCTCTATATCTAGGATCTTTGAAAAATCATTGCTCAGCAATTCATCGATAGACTTTAAATTGATTGATACCTAATAAATCTTTAATGTCGTTAGATTTAAGTGGTGCCAATAGATATGAAATTCGTCAATAAATTGCTTAGCTGCGATTTTTCAAACATTGCAAGTCTTCCGTTACATATTTTAAAGGAGGCATCGAAACCATGATAGTTTTTTTAATAAGTTTCGTAATCCAATGTCTTATTTTTTAACATTTTCCATAAATATATTAGCTAGGAGTCGAAGTCGAACTATTTTTCAGAATATCAAAGTCAACCAGAAAAACCTGGAAAATCGGAAAAATGTCGGGATTTTATTTTCACTAGGAAAAGCCGGTAATTTGAAAAATCCACCAGGAAAGTAATCTTGTTGCAATTATTTCTGAACTTCACATGGGTGACACATGTTTTAATAAATTCGATGTCATCGTTTATAAATTTAAGCAGATCAAAACTAATAATTCCGTTCGAACTAAAACTTATACACCACAACACAATTGCAGCAAGATAAACAAAATTTACCTAAAGCAAGGGTTTAGGAAATATATTTTATAGGGAAAATGGCTCTAATGTTGGCCTATGCAGGGTGGCCAGCAAACCGGGAAAACCGGGAATACCGGGAAATATCCGGGAATTTGAAAAGTAACCGGGAAAACCGGGAAAAACCCTGGAATTCGGTGAGAGAACCGGGAAAATAAATTAACCATACCATAGGATAAATTTTCAAACCAGAATTTTAGAATAAATCATTGAAACAGAGTTACCCTTTACCAAATGAATGTCTTGCTCTATTTGCTGCATAATTTTTCTCAGTTTCCCGTGTTATTGTTTTTAGAATTTAATCACTCAGCAATATTGAAAATTGATTTTTGTCGTCTTAATTTCAGATGTAAAGTGCATGGTCCTTAAAAGAAAATATTGAAGATGCTGGACTTTCAAAACAAATATTTGTAAAAACCAAAACTGAATTATTCTTTTCCGGGGGTTTAATTTTTTGTTGTTCAAAATTCTCATGACATGAATTCCAGAATTAACTTGGAATTCGGCTCTGAATTATCTTGGAATTGTTCTGAAATAAACCAGAAGACACTCCGCGTAATAATTGCCGTTGAATTCTTTTTGGAATTTCCTTGCAACTCCGTCTAAGAATTTAATTGGAATGCTTCTTAGAATTCTTTGACTTTGATTCCTTTGAAAATATTTTCAAAAATTTCTTTTAACTCTATTCAAAACAGCGGAAATCTTTCGAAATTTTATTTATAAACCCCTTGGAGTATTTTAAAGAATTTCTTTTTAATTCTCAGAATTTTTTGCAATAAATTTTGTTGGAGTTCTGTGATGAATCTTTCGCACTAGGGTTTAAATTATTGCCAGCACAATCTAAGAACTCTGTTTTTTTGTTGAATTCTGAACATAATTCTCTTGGAATTCTTCTTAAAATTCATCTCTAATTATCTTCACGATACCGATACAAATCTCATCAGAATCACGTAGGAATTTTCCGCAATGTTTTGTTTTTGACAACTCCTTTTTAAATCTTTTAAAATTATCTAACAATTTAATTTAGAATTTGCATTTTTCTCCACAGAAATCCTTCCAAATTCTTCTAGAAAATATTAGGGTTTTCATGTCAGAATAATTCTGGAAATCTGCTTAAAACTTTTCCTTTGAAAACTGTGTGGGAATCTTTCTCAATATTTGTTTGAAATCAACACTTTGAATTCTTTTAAAATTTACTAAAAATTCCAGTGTTTGTCTGCTAGATTCTATAGATTGTTATGTAATTTGTTATAACCCTTAAAATGCTTCCAAGTCTCAGAGCGTGACAATTATGACTCCACGACTCATAAGTATGATATTTATTTAATTTTTCATATCTGTGATCTTGAATTTTTTCCAATATCTCACATTTTAATTATTTTTACTCCAAATCTTGCATCACAAATATTGTTAGTAATCACAAATTTTGAAAAAAAAAGTTCTAGTTTCAGACACTACTCAAATTTTAAAGCCCCAGAATCTTGGGAATCTTCTTAAATCACATTTTTTGTCCTTTTAGTAAATTCCTTTCAGAGCGTTCTTAAAAATGCGTTCAATTTGGTTTTTTTGTTTAATATTTACAACCGGGAATTTTTTAAGATTTAAACCGGGAAAACCGGGAAAAAACCGGGAATTTCAAAATG